GACTAAAGCATCTTCATTAATACCTCGCTGGTTGGCAACTAGCCAATACGTTGAAGGCTCTTTGTTAGAACCAAACAATTATTGGTCTTTTCTCTTTTGCAGGATCGTGTTCCTCATATCCTCGTAACCTAATTGACAGGAAAGTATATCCGCCGGCCTTCAACGTTTCCTCAAACGTTAGCTTAACCAACCAACCAGTTAAATGTAAATTTTCTTTTCAATCTTTACAATCTTTAATGAAGTACAAGAAATTCTATACAAATTATTGACTTAATTATTATTCGAAATATAAAAAAAAAAACACACATTTTAAATTGAGCATATTTCTACTAAATTTTCTAAGACTTTCCAATGAATCTAAGAAATGAGAAGAAAGAAAAAAAACAACAACCTTGCGTTTTAGAAAAATACTTTCTGAATAATATGATTAGATCAGATAAGATAAGATTAGATTAAAGCACATTTTATTAATTTACTAAGTTAAACTTTTAATACACTTAAATACAAATAATATTACAATTATTATTACAGACCTTCAGCACAAAGTACATTTTATCTAAGTGAATTTGTTGAAATTTATGCTAAAGGCTCATATAAAATCGTAACTCAAATAAATTATGAAATAAATTTGAACTCAAAAGAGTTAAACCTGTGTTGAGTGGAGATCTGAAAGCTTTTTAGAGTTACATAAGTTAGTTCAAGGTAAGATCTAGATATGAATATTATCAAAGTAGTTGTTAATCGAGCTTGTTTGCTTCTGGAGAACTCATAAAATTACGCTCTTAAATAAATATAATGTGTATTGCGATCATATCAGAAATATTATTTAACAATCATTAAGCAGACGACGTCTCTCACAGGGCTAAGTACCGCTAATTGGCAAATCTTTGCCATATATCTTTAATTTAAATACACGCGGTTGGAAACGAAAGCAAAAGCAAAAGAAAAACCAAAACCAAAAGCAAAAACAAAAGCAAAAAGAAGCAAAAACAAAAGCTCAACATTAAGTTGTAAGTCAAAGTCATTTTAGCGCTTTTTTCTTTCTTTACATCTGCTTTCCCCCTTTTGCTCTTTTTTTTTTGGTTTGTCTAACATGCCTACCCAGCAGCGAACTAGTGAATGACCCCGTATCATTACCGAATGCATTCGGTATGCATACAATGTAATTAATTACATAGTAGTGCTCTTGTAGGCAGAGTTGCACGCTGAAGCTTCTTACATATACCTTATTTATGTTTTTGTTCCTCATTTGTCTTACTAACTCTGCTTATCCAAGTTTTGTATTTTTAAATGTTTGCAATGTGTGTAGTGAAAAATAAAATAAATGTATATGTTTATATATAAAATTGTTATATTTTCTGGAATAAGTTATCATATTGTATCTATATATTTCCCGTATTTGAGGGTGTAATGCAGCTGCATTGCGATATATATATATATATAGTTGTATGGTATTCCGATTACAATCCTTCCAAGCAAGGTAAAGCGTATAAAAAGCTTTGGGCAACGCATACTTTCTGCTTTGCAGGCTTGTGGAAAAGTAAGGCAAAGTAGAGCTTACGAATCGAGTTCGTAATGGGGCCTCTTCGCTGCTGGGTATCTTATGATTTGCAGATCGCTTCGCTCTTTTTCCTTTTCTTTCTCTTTCTCGCTTGACTTTGACTTTGCTTCGCCTCGCTGCACTTCATTACCGCTGCAGCCAACAACAGAACAGACTTTGGCCCCAAATGCTTTAACTATAACCTGCCTTGCCCGTCCCCCTGCCCCTCACCTACCACTCGCTTAAGAACTTTGGCACTGTGACTGATTAACGTGATTTGCTGATGAGTTTTGGTGCCGACTCAAACTTTTCTTCTGGTTATTGTTGCTGTTGTTGTTGCTGTTTCTGCTGTTGTTGTTGATGTTGTTGTTGTTGTTGCTGTTGCTGTTGTTGTTGTTGTTGTGTTTACTCTTCGACGCTTCTTTGGCTTGTTGACTTATTGTTTGCTGTTTGCTGTTTGTTGTGGTTTGTTGTTGTTGCTGCTGCTGCTGCTTTTAATAACTCTAGCAAGCGTAGCATGACGCAGTGCGTCGCAGCTGGCGTCGCAGCTTGCGTAGCTTGTTCTTGAGTTTTAATTGAAACTTCGCGCGTTCAGCCGAAGCGGCATAAGATTCATCATGAGATAGATAGAGACAGAGAAACACAGAAAGAGAGGGACACACACAACTCAAACATTGAAGAAGAAGCAGAGTACTAAAATGTAACTGTGCTTGTGCTTGGGCCTGTTGTGTGCAAGGGGTGACTTTCTAGGCTGCATCGAAATGCTAATGCGTCTGATGTTAATGAGACGACATGCTTACCATACACACATACATACATACATACATATTTGCGTATACACAGACACACATATGTACATACACACACATATCTACTGATAAAGTTTAACCAACGGCATAACGGTTCAATGCCGAAAAATATGTGTGCTCCGAAAACTTTTGATTGACTGCCGCCTGCATTGACAAGACTTTGCACTCAATTTTGGTCACGAACTTGCAACATTGTGGCAAGTGCATCTCGACGCCTGTTGCAGCCTGCCAAATAAATGTCAGCCAGCTGCCAATTGCCCAGCTCAAGTTTAATTTGAGTTTGCGCAACTTGATAGAAAAGATTAAAAAAAAATATGAATTCAAAAGTTGTGGACTGCGCCATACCCTGTATTTCAGCTACGAATTAGCCAATATATTTGACAAATTAAAACAAGTGCTGAACTTTGAATCACTACTCTGTTTGAAGATGAGCGCATAGTATGAGGATGTGGGCGAATGAAAAAAATTATATTAATTTAAAAAAATTATATTAAAGCAAACTATTAGTTATATAATGTTCCTTTTTAATATATTCTCCTTAATATTTCCTACAAATTAAAGTTAGACTGTACTCTTTTCAATGAAAGTGTCAAAAAGTAGCGAAAAATATTATTGCACCACCTAAGCATTCTTTATAGAAATCGCTTATTTAGTTATAATTTTGATAATTATAAGTGCACATTTGTAAAATTATATTAAAATTAGTTTCCTTCATTTTCTTCCTTTATTTTAAAATAATTTTTTTTTATTATTTTGATTTAAATTAAGTTTAATTAAATTGAAATCAGTGAATAAAATAATGTAATTTTTTTTAGTGTTTGCTTCCACTTCTAAAACGTATTCATAAGTTCCTTAATCGACACTACACACCCCATTTGCATATATGGTACAGGGTATAATAAGGCGGCAGAAAGAAGAAAAGGAAGCAATAGCTGCACTGCAAATAACTGAAGCACAAGGCAAATAACTAAAAATTCGCCGGGCTCTGCTTGACTTTGACGTTTGGGCAGTTCTCAAGGTCAACAATCAGTCAAGAACAACAACAACACCAACAACGACAACTACATTTAAATGCATTTTCCAGCACTAGCAGCAGCTATAACAACAACAACAACTATTAATTTCACAATGTACCTCACCCCCGGCCCGGGCTTTCGATATTACCCTATTCAAATGCTCAAAGTCAAGTGCAAAAAAAAAAAAGCAAAACAAAAACAACATGCGACATCCACTCATTAAAATGCTGAGTAAACGCTCATCGCACCGAGCAACGCGCCCCGAGCAACGCGCCCGGAGCTGATCATTAATACACACACACATATATATATATTTATATACATATATTTATACAGACTACTCTTCCACGCAGAATCTGTCATCTGGCATCTCGCTCGCACACACCATTGCAATGATTAATACTGTTGTTTCTTAGGATCGGGAGCTTAACTAATTTCATTAGTGCTTACGCACTCATATACAATATACACACATACATACATACAAAAGAACATACCTGCAATGAATTTTGCATTGAGTGTTAAGGTTCAATGTTTACCATAGAAGTGTGTGGAAACATGTGTGAGTGTGCGTGTGTGTGCTTTTAATCAAACGCAATGCTGTAAACACCTGTTACTTTACAGGTCAAACATGTTCCATGTTCGACATGTGCGCATGCGTCTTTCAATATATCGTTCGCCGCACCGTGGAATGCTATATACGACATTATTATTTATTTCATATTTAATTATTTTTGTTTATTATTTCCAGCCTGACTATTGCGACGAGTTGTTACACGTAAGAGTTTGAACAACTGGTTGTGGGAATATTCGTGCATTCATTATCTATCAAGTGCAAAGTAATTGTCTATATATCTGATTATCACACAGAACAATAATATTCAGGAAATTATTTAACATTCAGCAATGCGCATCGTATTAAAAATGAATCGACTTCAAAATGAATAAGATATATGTTAAACAGCCCTTAAGCATTTACATAGTGCACGCCATTAGTGTAAATAACAATGACATTTTACAGCCATTAAAAAAGATTCGCTAATGTCCGAAGACCAACTACATTTATTTGCATTGTCAATTTTCGTCATGCGTACACACCACTGTGCAAACGGACCCAGCAACATGTTGCAACAACAGCGCTGCTAACTGAGTCTGTTGATTTAACAGCGCGTCGTCAACTTAACGGTTGGCTGTTAGACCATGTTGTTAGTCTTTTGCCGGCATTCAAATCGAACGCGCGCATTTCACGTCCGCAGCCGCCGTGTATTTTAGCATTTTTGTAAAACGGTTCGCAGTTTACGTAAATATTTTGCTGTTAGTTTTGCGCGCGTGATTCGCTCATTGTCTTAGTTCGTTGTTTGTCATTTAAGCAATTGAAATCATCATAGAAATTGGCCCAAACATTATTTGTGGTCCGTGTGGCCAGCAGGACAAATATCAAACCACAAAAAATTGTGAAGTATTTTTTTTTTTTTTTTCAAATCTAATTTCAAGTGCATTTGCTGCTATTTTTGCTACACACACACGCACGCCTCTGTAGATCGGTATGTATGTGTGAAGCGTGTAAAAAGGAAAAGCCAAAGCAGCAAAAACAAATTTTTGATGTACAACAAGAAATGAGAAAAAATACCAAGTCCAAAGAAATTTAAAACCGGATTCCATACAACAACAACAACAACAAGACGAGCAGCTTCAGCTACACCAGCAGCCGATACACCACCAACAACAACAGAAAACAAACAAATTCTGCTTCTACGCACAGCAGCAGCGACGCCAGCGTCTACGTCTATCCTCCTCTGCTCGGCAAGAGCATCATCAGCAGCTGCTCAGTTGTTTTTGTTGTTGTTCTTCTTGTTTCTGCTGCGGCCACTGTGTGTGTTAGAGGCGGCGACGTCGGCAGAGCAAGCGCAACAGGAGCAACCACAACTCCAATCGCTCTGCAAGAACTAGAAGAAGCATCAGAAGACGAAAAAGAAGAAGAAAAGGCAGCAGCAGAAGCAGAGACAGCAGTTTGCAGACGAAGCAAAAGGTGAGCGCAGACTACACACACACACTCACATACACATACACATGGCCTGCGCAAATGTTTGCTGCTGTTGTTGGTGTTGTTCTTTCAGTTTGTTTGTTTGTGTGGGCAGCAGGAAAAAATGTGAATAGAGTGTAAAGAAACTACCAAGTAAGAGGAGAATCAAAGTAAAAGGAGACGCCGACGAATAGTATGTGTAAATAATGTTGGCAATTCTTCGTCTTCTTCTCTCCGAATGAAAATTGTGTGCAGAAATTAATTTCGACTCGGGAAAGTTTTATAATTCGATTGACTCATCCTATATACATAAATATAGATACATGTATATATATATATATATATATATATATATATATATATATATATATATATATGTGTGTGTGTGTGTGTGTGTGTGTACGTACACATAATTATGAATTATCTGTGAGAGTGCATTTAGAAGTGTAGAGTAAATCAGTAATAAAGTAGACTGAAGAACTCATTTTGATCCTAGAAAATACAACTGTAAAATGATTTCCAACGGTTGGAAAGTTTTGTATGTATGTGTGTTTATTTGTGTGATTGATTTACTTTCTCTGGGTAAGAATTCGACGATTGGAATGTTTTGAATGAATAAATAAACATGCAAATGTGTTTATCTACTTCTCTCTCTCTCTCTTCTCTAATATATTGTTCAGATTATAACAATTGCACGAATTCTCTATGTCTATATTATAAATTAAATATCGATTCAATATATCGTATGCTGATCAGTTCTAATTTCTAATTTGTGTATATTTCTACTTTTGTAGAACTCTATCCGTCCATGCAAATAAATCTCGAGAAAACGAAAGACTTTTGTTTTGCTTCTGCTTGGGAAAGTTGCAATAATACTGTGACAAACGTAAAAAAGAGAAATAAAATCATTCATTCATAATTATGTATATGTAAATCAATGCAAATATTGGTCACGATACAAGCACACACATGTCTATTTGTAAGGTGTGGTTGACGTGCGGCGCCATAAAAAAAAAAACGCTGACATAATGAGCTAAAAAGCTAAAAAGAACCAATGCAACATGGCCAAGACATGCAACATGATAATGCTATTGCAGTTAGGTTCTTACACATAATATGCCTATAGATGTATATATATATATATATATATATATATATATATATATGTATATATATCTACATACACACAGATAGATTTATTGGCATTGCCCTCTTTGCCTGCTTCTCTTTTATTTTTTCCCTGCTCTGCTTTGCTCTCGATTCATCCTCTTTTTTTTGCGATCTTAAAGCTCTGATGAATTATGCGAGGGGTTTCCTATTTTCCATTTTTCCATATTTTTGAAGCTGTGCCAGACCTAAGCTGTAAATTATTAAAATTTTTGGTTCTGAGAACTTCAGGAGAAGGAACCAACCGAGTATTTAATTTGGCAAATGAATTATTTAATCATCATGCAATTTCGCAGTGGCTAACAATGGTATTCCATTAGCATTCTGGGAGGGGAGATATTTAATTTTAATTTTGGCTTTTTTAATTAATTTTCACCAAAAACAAACCATATAAAAATTAAGAAATGATTTTTAAATAAAATGGAAATCAAATGTAAAATAAAATGATGAATTAGGACAAAAGTTACAAACTAAATGAAAAGTTATTACGCTCCAATTTAAAGTGAAATAATAAACAAAAAAAGGATATAAATTATTACAAAATGGGTATATTAAAGTGAATGCATGCAGTGTGTATTTATAGGCCTACCAATTAATTATTATACATACATTTCTATGCGAGATATGCAAGACGAAGACAATTTCTTTTTGCCTGCCAGCAGAGCTGCTAATTGAATTAGCACTTGAAGGGCAAAGGGGCAAAGGGTTTGCTGCGAAGGGGCGAAGGGAGCTGAGCGTAGCAGTCGACAATAAATTGGATTAATGCAGATATAAACAGAGCAGCAGTAGCATTTTATGGTAGCTCTTTATATACATATATATATATATATATAGACAAATGACAAAAACATACTCGTACACACGCACACACACACATATATATATATATACATATAAATATATATTTTTTTCGATCTACCTCTTTATCGCTCTTCCTGTAAGGATTTGGTTGGAGGGAGGGGGGAGGGGTAATCGTGTGCTCAGCGCCGGCGTCAAACGGATATTCATTCCCTAATCGAAATACAAATAATTGCTGTTAACTCATTCAAATTCCTTTTGTTGTTGTCCGTCGTTTTGTTTTGCTTTCTTCTGTTTTCTTTTCTCTTTTATTGTTATTGTTGCTGTGATGTTCTTATGTTTTACTATTTCGTCTTTTATGTTTATGCTTTATTATTTCGCCTTCGTCTCTCTGTCGTCCGTATTTCTACCCTATATTTGTGGTTTGTCTTAACGGTCACCTTATCAATTTTGTGATTAGAACCTTTTTCACCTGCACTGTGAATGCAGAACTGCATTTTGGTCCCCTTGTAAAGTTTTAGCAGCAATGCACATACATACATACACACATAGACACATAGATACACACACATTTGAATGCTAAGTTAAATGTGGCTAGTTGACAGTTATCGTTTTTTGAATAAACTTAACTTAAGCAGCGGCAAGGCTTGATTTGTCAAATTGCTGCTGAGACAGATATTTATAGTTGTTTATTGTGTTATTTATTATTATATATGGATTGATTAATCTGCTCTGTAGTTATCTGAGCGGATTACATATTCGATTTATTAACTATCTTATCATTTAATTGTCTTTAGTTAACAATTGCTAATAATATTATAGTCTAAAATAAATAATATGATTTTTATTTCGATTTATTTAGAATCAATTTTGGGTACTTATTGTTTGAGACATTCAGTGGTTTTAATATATTTAAATATTAATATTTATTGATCAAATAAATTGAAAAACTTTTCAGATTGCCAATTATCGATTTGATAATTGGATAAATATTCGTTTTAGTGGCATTTAATAAATACAATCGAGACTCACTTTGAAATATTCGAATTGGAGACAATAAAAGTAGATAAGCACTATTTATGGCCCGTTTCGCGTTGTAATAATAATATATGCAATAAAATGATATCATCTGTGAATGGTATTGCCTTTTGTGATCTGCTGATCTATTGTTTCGCTTTCAACATATTTTTTAATTCGATTTGCGAAAAGAAAGTGAAAATCGCATATTGCCAAAAATATGGAGAAAAAAAAACACTCAAAAAAAAACTGAGAGCCAAACCCATCCGCATAATCAGCATCAGCATCAGCATCAGCAGCAACAGCATCAGCAGCAACAGCATCAAGACATTACCATTAACTTTAACATGAACATTATCCCTTCCTCCCTCACTCCATTCACTACTCCTTCTTCCCCCCGCGCACCCCTGCCTTGCCTTGACTTGCCTTGCGGACATGTTAGCTAATTAAAAACAAAAAACAAAAAAAAAAAAGCTGGCAAAAAGACACTGATGTATTTTTGAGCGTCTCCATCGGGCTGATTAATGTCTTTATGGTTATGGTGGCCAAGTTATTTGATTTGTTTCGATTAGTTGCCGATGCGATAGCAGCACATGTTGATAATGATCACTCATTCACTATACACATCAATGTGTGTGTTGCTGTACTCACTCGTGCTGCGAATTCATAATTTATATTCAATTTTTAGCATTTGCGCCAACGCATTGTAATCTTATATCATATTTGTCGATTCAATTCCATTATGTCGAAATTTTTTTGGGTGTTTATTTTTATTGTTTAGTTTTTTTTATATATTTTATTTATTTTTTTATTATTTTTGGTGAGTGCAATTCATGTTGCTCTACTTTGGGTAGCCGGAAATGTTACTATAACTGAACTTTTATGTGTTACGACATGAAAATGGTTTCTGTTGCACTGCCAGTAATAGCATTTGAAATCCATCAAATAGCGCTGACAACCTGAGATAAGAACACCACCACGAGATATGAGCTTGTGTTTGTATTATCGATAAGCTCTTGTTTGTGTAGTTAAATCCATTTAACCAGCATTTGAAATTCACCTAACAATAATAATCAGATTAAGGAACCCAAAATTTGTCTTGTGAGAATTCACTTCTTTTTTTTTGTGTTTTTATTCTATTTAAAATATAATAAATGTATATTGCATATTATTTGTTACATTTTACATTTTAGCTTAAATTCTCATTTGAAGCTAATTATTTTTAATGTACTTAATTCTATTTTGATTATCTAAATTTCCAATTTTTTTTTTTTTTTTAAATTGGTATTGGTCTACATTTAATAAATAAATACACAAATAAACTTTCTTTGGATATTGGTGATTGTAGGAAATTTTCGTATCCGTTCTGTCATTCTTTTGTGTGAAAATTTGGCTTAATTCGCTCAAAGAAAAGTGTTTTCTTTTTACTGCTTGAGAGACCCACAAGTTTATAAGTGTACTTATTATTTTAGTGGCATTTCCACAGTTCCTCAAAATATCTTTAGATATCTGCAAGATCAGCTCGGCTCGTCAGCGCTTCGTGTCTAATGGTGTGAGCTTCACGCTCAGTTCTAATTCCCAGACCTAATGCAACAAAAATAAAGAAGAAAAAAAAAGCAGATAATAATAAAAAATTAAAACCACAACTTGGCAACCGCAAAACCGAATTACGAGCAAGAACCGAAAATACGAAAAGCGACAAAAAAAAAAAAACCAAACATTTTCTTTAGCTGATTTATTGTAAAATGTGCCTATTATCATTTTGGCTTGTTTCATTTTCGTAGCGCTTTTTCAATTGTCTAGCGTTGCATGGTTTTTATTATTTTTTTTTCATCGGTTCAGTTGGGTTCGGTTTGGCTCGAAATTATTTTTATATATTTAGCTGCTTCTTGGGGTCTTTTTGTCTGACTTTTTGCGCGCGCTTCTCTCGAGAAGCTCACAAATACATACGCTAAAAAAAAAGACCACAAAAAATAAAAAAAAAGAGAGGAAGCAAAAACAAGCCGCATAGAAATGCATGGTGT